GTCTCCGCTGGACTGAACGCAGCAACCACTCTAAGGTCCAAAAGCTCTAGTACCGAGATCTGCACACAGTGCAGAGTTTAGTATCAGCACAACCGACCCCATGTGCTGGTAAGTGTCGAGCCTAACCTCGGCGAAGTAGTGACGAGGCTAGGACAAGAATATCAGATAACCTTGTACAATTAAAACATGTACAACAAGTAATAATAATGAAAACTAGCAGTTTAACATGGGAAGGGGAACATGCTGCGGGAGATATCAAGTACCAACAGTAACTCACGAGAAAAAAATATAAAGAACATCTTAAAGTGCGCATCAGTAAGAATAAGGAAACAGTAACGAATCAATATCCAATTTTATTCATTATTATTGCGACTCACAACCCGATCCAAAGAATATTATTGCGGCGTGCAACCCAATCCAAATCATATATTACCGTAGCGGCATGCAATCCGACCCCTCATGTTCTTCATTATTACTCCATGTTGCAGCGTGCAACCTGATCCCATATAATATTATTGCGGCGTGCAACCCGATCCCATATAATATTGTTGCGGCGTACAACCCGATCCAATATACAAATCAATACCAATCACAAAGAATCCGGCAAGGGAACAATAGGGAAACAACAATATCCCGGCAAGGGAATCAACGATAAGAATAAACACATCAAGGGAGTCAACTATAACCAATCTTATACCAATGTTTAACTTCACGAATGAAACCTCAACTAAAAACAATACTCAACAATGAACAAATACCACGAGAATAATCATAATTCTTGCCCAACACGGAGAATCAAAAACTTAGGCATTTGTAGTACTTATTAAGAAACACAACGATCATAATTTAAGACCCACGTGCATGCTTGACAACGACGTATAAATATTCGTCACCACACCTATACGTGGTACACTACACTAGCACATAGCGAATAAGGTACAATACCTATTCCCTCAAGCTAAGGTTAGACCAAACACTTACCTCGAACTTTCACGGCCAACGCAAGCCTCAAACACCTTTTTTTCTTTAGAATTCACCTCCAAATTACTTGTATCTAGTCCAAATTAATTTAACAATATCAATAAATGCTAAAGAATTCATACCCAATGCTTAATTATAGGTTTTCTATCATTTTTTCCAAAAAGTTAAAAATCGACCCCGGGCCCGCTTGGTCAAAACTCAAGGTTCGGACCAAAATTTAATCACCCATTCACCCACGAGCCCAAATATGCAATTAGTTTCGAAATCCGACCCCAAAAATAAGGTCTAAATACCAATTATTCAAAAAACCTAACTCTACTGATCACGGCCTGCTCCGCACTACTAATTAAGTAGCGAGAGAGGGTCGGAGCAGCTTTTACCCTATTTTTGATCGGGATCGATATCCACAGAGAGCTAGAATTGGAATCGAGTATCTATCTAGTTTAGGATTGTGTATGTGTTCTTAATTACACTTATAATCATTTTTGGGGTTTTTATTTACTTATACTATTATCAAACTACAAATGGTAATTGCAACTAAATTATGCTAAGAGTTATAATGCTACGAGTTGATCAAATAGTTTAAAAGGCACTATGGTAATGACTTCCGTCTAGGTGGTCAATTAATGGGTGCTTGGGTTTAAAGCACGTTTGACATATTTGGGGAGTATGATATAATCGTTGAACGACTTTACCCACTCTACACCTCTCGGTGGTTCGAGTGATTTTGCCCGAATTGACTTTCTCAAGACCAATTGGGTATGCAAATTTGTACAAGCAACTAAGGTTCAAGTCGGGTATTACTCTCTCGAGGTTTAACCCTTTAATTAGGGCTATCAATCTCTTGAGTACGCTCCAATTCCTTATTAGATTAATTTCAGAGACTTAGGCTCTCTTTCTCAAGAAGAGCCAAAATCAACTAAATACAAACTAGTGTTTGCAACCACTAATTCAACAATTAAATATGAAATTAATCCAAATATCAAACACCCATAGTCAATTTAGCCCTAAAATACAAGACTATTAATTACCCACACTAGGGTTGAGCCACAACCCTAGCTTATGGGTCTAGCTACTCATATTCAAAGAAGAAAACAAAAAAATAGATGAAGAAAAACTCATATTAATTAATCACTAAGTTAAATAAGAAGATTCAATCATGAAAAGTAGATAAAATTGCCCAAAATGTCTAAGAAAATCGAACCCACGAGCGCAGCTGCTTAATTACAGTATCTACTTAACCTAAAAATGGAAAAGAAGATTTTATACTAAGCTGACAATTCTGGATAAATGCCCCTGCGAGGTTAGTGCGGACCACACAAAATGGACTGCGGTCCGCACTAGGGCTTTGGACTTGACAAATATGCTCTCTGAATCTAGGCACTGCGGACCGCACAGGATGGACAAGCGGTCGCGGAGGCTTCTTGTGCGGTCCGCACAAAATCGACTGCGGACCGCATTGGCTTGGAACTTTGAATCTGACACTCTCTGATTCTCCTTACTGCGGACCGCACGAAATTGAGTGCAGCCGCATTGCCTTTAGTGTGGACCACACAAATCCTAGTGCGGCCGCATTGCCTTGTGACTGATTTTCGACATTTTTGAATCTCTTAGTGCGGACCGCACAGAATGGTGTGCGTCTGCACTGGGCCTGTTTTGCCTGAGCTTGCCTTGTCTTTGGCACTTGTGCAAGTTTCACTCATTTTGAGCTGATCTTTGACATCTTGTCACTTTGTTGACCAAACCTGCAATCAAGCACAACTTGTGAGCCTTTTGGGACTATTTTGTATGAATTTCTAATCAAAGCATAAGCAAGAAGGAGTATAAAATGCGTCAAAATCCCTAGTTATCAACTCCCCAAAATTCTCAATTTCTACTATAAAAATCCAAATTCTCAAATTCGTGAAGGTTTAGCCCCCCTGACATTCGCGTTCGCGAGACCTACGTTGCGTTCGCGTAGGTTAAAATCCCTTCCCCCAGATCCCAGCCCAATTAGCCTTCGCTATAGCCAGGTCGTGTTCGCGAAGGGTAACCCCCCAATGCTTCGCGTTCGCGACCTGTGTCTCGCGTTCGCGAGAGTCCCTTAGCGAACGCGAAGAACAATATATCAGCACACCAGAAACAACAAAACCTGCAACTTTCTAAGTGTAAAAACATCTCGAAACCTATGCAAAACTGACCAGAGCCCTCGGGGCTCCAAACAAAACATTCATACTAACTCAAAAACATCATATGGACTTACTCGTGCGAACAAATTGCCAAATTAACATCTTTAACATTGAATTTAGCATCAAAATAAAAGAAAATCTCAAGAACAGTTAAGCTTCAAATTTCACAACCGAGAGTCCGATTCACGTCATATGAAGTCCGTTTCTTACCAAATTTTGCAGGCACAACTTAAATACCATATAAGACCTGTACCGGGCTCCGGAACCAAAATACGGGCCCGATACCATCAAATTCAAACACATTTACATTTCCAAAAACTCTTATAATTTTAGTTATATAATTATCTTCAAAAATTCATTTCTCGGGCTTGGGACCTCGGAATTCAATTCCGGCTAGCCCAAGTCCCATATTTTTCTACGGATCCTCCGGGATCGTCGAATTACGGGTCCGGATCCGTTTACCCAAAATGCTGACCGAAGTCCACTTAAATTCAATTTTAAAGGCCAAATTAGCATTTTTATCAATTTTTCACATAAAAGCGTTACGGACCGAGCACGCAAATCGATATAAGATAAAAAGAGATTTTTAAAGCCTCGGAACACAGAGTTTACTTGTAAATTAAGTGATGACCTTTTGGGTCATCACATGCACACATGTATATTTAAGAATTTTTTTAGAAATATAATATTATTATACATGACATTTCACGCGCCTCATGCTCCGACACAAGATATGCCCCTACTGCTTAACATCTGATAAACACCCAAACAAATAAACATAAAATAATGTATGTTTCATATAACAAAAGTATTTTTGATTGTCTGATTATTCTGGAATCTGGAACTCTTGTGCCTGTCCATAAGCATTTTAACTTTGGGTTTTAATGCATAATGGAGATTTCTACAAACTTAGCCTATCATGTCATGAGTAATATAAAATTACTAACAGAGATATCAAGTGGATATTGGAAACGCAACGCACATAGTAAATAAATTGTTTTGTATGGCTATATTTGTCATAAATATACTTCGAGCAGTTATAGGCCTGACTTAATGAAAGTGTGAGAAATTCATAAGCTCTCAAGTCCCAATCTCAATCGAGACAACAAAAAAATGCTTGATAGCTTAGCAAATGTGTGCAGAAATAGTCGATCAGGATACATGCAGGTGGCCCAAATTTCACTGTCATAACACTTGATGACGTAAACCCGATATACTTGATATCATCTTTGAACGAAAAGAAAAAAGAAACTATTAAAGTCACTAAATTATCGTAAATTGCGACCTGAAAATTTTATTTCTTGTATTGATTGACTATATTCACTTATTTTTCATATTATTAGTATATTTTAACCTATGAAGTTTTAGTCAAAAAGGTTGCGGATATGATCCCCAAAATTTGATAAAAGAAAACAAAGTGACATGCTTGCTTAACATCAGATTCCAAATTATAATTTTTCTATAAATACTCAACATTCACAAATGCTCTACAGATTGCTCCCAAGTATAATGACTTTACCTAAATTATAATATTATTCCTACTTTAAACAGAAAAAAACTTAAAAAAAATTAATATTTAGAACGTAATATTAGGTGAAATAGAATGATAACCATTTTATTGATATATAAGAGTAGAAAAAGATTTGACAACTAGAAAAGTCTTCCTCATATTTATCTATTTAATTATTTATTTACTTATTTGCTTATCTACTAATTTGTTTATTCATTTATTGTCTTTCGTTCTTTTTCTTTTTCCTTTTTGGCTTTGCTCTCTCTCTCTCTTAAAAATCACTTATAAAAACTCTAAAACGCTGGATGAATTCTTCACTTCTCTTTTTTTTTTTCACACTCATGGATTCTCCCATGGGGTCTAGTTCTGATGAACAAATTCAAAAGCTAGAAGAGTGAGTTTTATTGAATAATTTTAAGTCTCTCTCTTTTTTTTGTTGGTCCTTTTAATTTTCGGTGGTTTTATATTTACGATGTTGTTCATTGAATAATGTTGTCTATTTTGGTCTATTTATCGTGGCTATCATAGCTTTCTCTCTGCATCAATCTAAGTGTTTTAAGAAACTAAAAGTTTTAACTCATGTTCTTATAATATTTTCTTTTTATGATTTTGTTTTAGATTTGTTTTCTAATTTGTCATAGATGTCACAATTCCCTTTTTCTTAAATGTATCTGATCTACTTGATTTTTAGTTTTTTACATCTTCATCTTATTTTCTCCGTCCATCAATAGATTCACATATTTCACTTCATTAATTTTAAGAAAAGTAAAACAGAAAGGCTGATTCAATTAAGTAAATGAAGAAGAAGAAGAATCTCTTACCTAATAGGAATTTTATTCCAGTCTCAAGAAGTTCGTTAATTACAAACATCTGAAATTTCCCCTTTGTTGATCTTAATATTTTCCTTTTCATTGCATGTTTTGGTTTCTATCAATTAGTTTTTGCTCATTCTAACAGATTTTTTTTTCTGACTAGGGTTTTTAGTGAGATGCCAAATCCAGAAAACGACGTGATAGAGAAATTGAGTGAGGAGCTAAGGCTTGATACCAATCAAATCAAAATTTGGTTTGAAAACAAAAGATGCTACATCCAGGTTCTTATAAACTTTTGATAGTTTATTTAATTACTTATAAATGGCAGTAGTCGAGCTACGTTGAATTCTCTAATAAAGAGAATACATTTTGTATTCCCTTAAAAACGTTCCTATATCTGTCACTGATCGTCATATGATATGAATTCTACTGTTCTCCACTCGTTGTTATCACAACAATCATCATTTCATCATAGTTTTGCTTCATTTTTTTAGGGATATGTTTCTTTTCGTTCTTTTTTGTTTAGAAATGTAGCTTCTCTTGACTTGAATAGATGAACTATGATCCAAATTTACACTAATTTCAGGCCCAAAGGGATAAGGAAGAACGTGAAAATCTTCGTTTGGAAAACTCAAGATTACTTTCAGAGAACTTGCAAATGAATCTCGAGTTGAGGAATCGCCTTTGTGCTACGTGTAATCCTGAGAAACAAAGAAAAATACTACAAGACTTGCAAAATGAAAATGCTATATTACAAGCTGAGGTCAACTTTCATTTCCTATTAATTTCTGCTTTTTCACATCTGTTGTTGCTCATGTAGTTTTTTTTTCCTGCAGCTTACAATAATATCCAACATGCATGATCATTTGAAGGAAAACCCTGAAAGGTACTTGTTATTAAAACATCATCTGCATCACTACGATAATCCAAGTGGACTAGACTTGAATCTTAAAGTGGAGTGTGATCACAATTTTCCAAGATTGAATTGGAACTGACTGAAGGCTATCTGATGGCTGAAAAGGTTGTACTATTGGACGTGATAATAGACTATTTTGTTGAAACTAAGTTCGTCATTAATTTTGTTTAGTAGTGAAACTATTGGTAAGAATCAATATTCTTATTTCTGTTGGTTTATTAAAGCCTTAAGTTTCATACACAAGATATTTTTACTGTATAATTTTATTTTCCATACGTTTATAAAACTATAGGCTAATTTAATGAAATCATTATAAATGATTTCAATGAAGGCAAGGTACGAGAAACATAAAAAGTAGCAAATAAATCTGAAAATGAGCATTGCAGTACCACTTTTTTCGTTTACCAAAAAAGATTTCAATAGGAGGGGCACATTAACCTTATTGCAATTTCACGACCAAAAACTAACCCGGTCGTGATGGCGCCTAACGCAGTACTAGGCAAGCCGACACATTACCAAAAACCAATCAATATTTTTCATTCTTAAGATAAAATCAAAGCTACTTAACAATAAACCTTCATAAAGTGTTTAAATCAAAACAACAGTGCAGAAAGAAAGCCCGACATCGGGGTGTCACTAGTCATGAGCATCTACTATAACCGTCTGACAACATCAAGACTAACATAGCCTAGAAATTACTAAATACAACTAAGGGAGGATAAGGAGGGAGAAAAGCAGGGCTGCGATCGCCATCTACCTTGCAAACTCTGATGGACCTACCACTGAGTAATCAATACCCGCTACCGAGTTTTGAAATACCTGGATCTGCACACAAGGTGCGGGGAATAATGTGAGTACGCCAACTCAGTAAGTAATAAAGGTAAATAAAGACTGACGAGCAATAAAACATATGCAGTTCATATCATGAAATCTCAGTAGAATACAACATGTTTTTAAATCAATTTTGAATCAACTCAGCTCATTTAAATTCGGTTTCAGTAAAACCATTTAAAACATCTTTCAACAAATTTCAAACGAAGTGATAAGACAGTGAGTAGGTGAAAACATAATCAGCTCCTCGGGCAAAACTCACTCGTATATAGCCCCTCGGGCAACATAAATCACAAACAGCCTCTCGGGCAAACATGAATCATAAACAACCCCTCGGGCAATCATCACTGTCACTCATATACAGCCCCTCGGGCATACCTCACAATTACTCGTAAACATCCCCTCGGGCACAACATGAATCAAGAACAGCCCCTCGGGCAAAACATCATATCAGCCACTCAGGGTACCCGCGCTTACTGGGGGGTGTTCAGACTCCGGAGGGGCTCCTACAGCCCAAGTGCTATACCAAGTCATCTCGTGGCATAAATCAGTCAGGCCCTCGGCCTCATAACAATAAGACACCTCGTGGCATAAATCAATCAGGCCCTTGGCCTCACAATATCATAAATCAGTAATAACCTGCTACGGCGTGCAGCCCGATCCCATAATATCCTTACAAAACAGGCCCTCGGCCTCCCTCAGTCAGAAAGCTCTCAAGCCACTCGAGCTATCAATAAAATAGGGTGCTCAGCCCAAAATATCATTTTATGCATCAAATTAGAGTAAATAAGACTGAGTTATGAAATCAGTAAAACATAGCATGACAGAGTGCAGATATTAAATCAAAACAGTAAGGAATAGAAGTAAAAAGCCCCTAAGGGTCCAAACAGCTTTGTCACAAGGCCCAAATATGGCATTCAACCCAATTTATAAAAATTCTTTCTAAATCACATAAGTATAACATAGTTTCAGTGAAATACACAACTAAACAGTTGCTATAGGACAGACCAAGTCACAATCCCCAACGGTCACACCCACACGCTCGTCACCTCAAAGTAGTAAAATAATGCGAAATCCGGGGTTTCATACCATCATGACTAGTTTTACAATCATTACTTACCTCAAACCGGTCAAAACTCTACACCACGATCCTCTTGCCCCTCGACTCGGCCTCCAATCGCTCCGAATCTATTCACAACCATAACAATACCATCAATATACGCTAATTGAATGAATTCCACAAGAAAAACTATCAAATAAGGCACAAATCCCAAAATCCACTCAAATCCGGCCCTTGGGCCCACGCATCGAAACCCGACAAAAATTACAAAACTTGAAAGCCCATTCACTCATGAGTCCAAACATAAATGATCTCACTTGGTCACTCAAATTCTCAAAAATCCACTCTCCAATTTCAAGCCCTAAATTCCCAAATTTCTAGTTCAACTTCTCCATTAGATGATGAATAAAATCATAGATTCATGAAATTTAAAACATTATTGGCTAGAATCACTTACCCCAACATTACTCCTTCAAATCCCTCGAAAAATTGCCTCTCTCCCGAGTTCCCGGTCAAATTCCCGCTTCTGCGGCACTGCACCTGCGGAATTTCCCTCGCAGGTGCGGAACTCACTTACTGCACCATATCCGCATCGGCGTCCCCTAAATTGCACCTGCGACCTCGCAGATGCATCCTGTTCTTTGCATCTGCGGTCCAGCCCCGGCCTTCCATTTCCACATCTGCGGTCCTCCTAGCGCACCTACGGCCTCGCATCTGCGGTTCCCACACTGCCGGTGCGGAAACATCAGAAGCAACAGCTTCTGCTGCATTATTCCTCATCCAAACTCTCCGTTGACCATCCGAAATCATCCCGAGGCCCTCGGGACCTCAACCAATAATACCAACAAGTCACATAACACTATTCAAACTTTTCCAAACCTTCGGAACACTCAAAGCAACATCAAAACACCAAATCACACTCGGATTCAAGCCTTAGAACTTCCAAACTTCCGAATTCTGCAAACGATGCCTAAACCTACCAAATCACCTCCGAATGACCTGAAATTTTGCACATACGTCAAAAATGACACTACGGACCTAATCTAATTTCCAAAATTTCTATCCGACCCCGATATCAAATTTTCCACTGCTGAGCGAGAAACGCCAAATTTTCAATTTTGCCAATTCAAGCCTAAACCTACCAAGGACCTCCAAATCACATTCCGGGCGCTCTCCCAAGTCCAAAATCACCTAACGGAGCTAACCAAATCATAAAAATCCAAATCCGAGATCGAATACTAAAAAGTCAAAACTTGGTTGAAATTTCAAATTTAAAGCTTCAAGCTGAGAATCATTCTTCCGTATCTGTTCCTATTAATCTGAAAACCAAAACCGATGATTTACATAAGTCATAATACATCATACAGGGCTATTCATGCCCAAGAACTGGCGAGCAAATTGTAAATGCTCAAAACGAACGTTCGGGTCATTACATCCTCCCCCACTTAAACATACGTTCGTCTCGAACATGCCTAGAGTTGTTCCGAAAACCATCAAATTGATCTATAACCTTACAATGTACATACCCGGGGGTGATCCTACATCACCCCATCCCACATAGGTTTGATAACGCAACATGACTGAAATTTCACAATCCAAGCAAGCCCATGAACCTTAAAACCAAATTTCCACTTCCGAAGTTATCTGTACGATCAGAATCTCACATCTATATGCTGTATAAGTCCACACAAGTTGTATCAAACCATATCCGTAACCCAAGATTTAATCACATGATATACCACAAAACTCAACCACTCGTAGCGATAACTTCTGATCACAACAGCTGCTTAAAGAACCCAATACCGGTAATAAACCTCTTACCAATCAAAGCCTCATAGCAAACTTTTATATACTGCCAACGATAAAAGAAACACGCAGAATGTGATAACCATTCCTCAGATCAACCAGTCATGGAGCTCTCTCTCCTTCGGCAAGGACCATAGTAAATTTCTAAGCCGAATCTCGATAGTATCCTTCCAACATGCTGAAATCGAATCCGATAATATTCATTCTAGATCCTGACGACCTCATCTCATCCAACACGACTACTCTAGTCACATGACACATCGATACAATCTAAAACCACCACCAGTGCGACCTGCGCACCAAAAAGCAACAGTTCAAATGTACTCAAATCATGGAAGAATGACTCAAATGAGAGAGCTGTACCGCAAGCTCACCAGTATCACCACAACACAATGCTGAGAACCCATCGCACATCGTAGAACCAGAACACACGAATCTAACCTGAAGGATCATACCTCAACATAATCTTCGCTGCAATATGCGACCCCACTTAAACATACGTTCGTCCTTGAACATGCCTAGAGTTGTTCTGAAAACCATCAAATTGCTCTATAACCTTACCATGTACATACCCGGGGGTGATCCTACGTCACCCCATCCCACATAGGTTTGATAACGCAACATGACTGAATTTTTGCAATCCAAGCAAGCCCATGAACCTTAAAACCAAATTTCCACTTCCGAACTTATATGTAAGATCAGAATCTCACATCTATACGCAGTATAAGTCTACACAAGTTGTACTAAACCATATCCGTAACCCAAGATTTAATCAAATGATATACCACAAAACTCAACCAATCGTAGCGATAACTTCTGATCACAGCAGCTGCTCAAAGAACCCAATACCGGTAATAAACCTCTTGTCAATCAAAGCCTCATAGCAAAACTTTTGTATGCTGCCAACAATGAAAGAAACACGCAGAAAGTCATAACCGTTCCTCAGATCAACCAGTCATGGAGCTCCCTCTCCTTCGGCAAGGACCATAGTAAATTTCTAAGCCGAATCTCGATATTATCCTTCCAACATGCTGAAATCGAATCCGATAATATTCATTCTAGATCCCAACGACCTCATCTCATCCAACACGACTACTCTAATCACATGACACATCGATACGATCTAAAACCACCACCAGTGCGACCCATACACCAATAAGCAACATTTCAAATGTACTCAAATCATGGAAGAATGACTCAAATGAGAGAGTTGTACCGCAACCTCACCAGTACCACCACAACACAATCCTGAGAACCCATCGCACATCGTAGAACTAGAATACACGAATCTTACATGAAGGATCATACCTCAACATAATCTTCGCTGCAATGTGCGACCCTATCCAAACACTAGTCCACGTGAGACACCTCAAGTCACCATG